ATATTTCCTTTGTCATCACATATGTTAGTAATATGAGCTTTCTCTTTCCCTTCGATAGCATTGCTAAGTGTCTGTCAATTTTATTTTTTCAAAGAACCAATTTTTGTTTTGTCAATTTTTTTTAACTGTTTCTTTTGTTTCAGTTTCATTGATTTCAGCTCTGATTTTAATTATTTCCTGTATTCTACTGCTTTTGGTGTTGATTTATTCTTTTTCTAGGGATTTTATTTGTTGACTTTTTCTTCTTTTGAGGAATGAACTCCATGGCATGAACTTTTCTCTTAGTAAGGCTTTCATAGTGTCCTAGAGATTTCGATATGTTGTATCTGTGTTCTTATTTACCTCTAAGAAATTTTAAATCTCCTCCTTGATGTCTTTTGCAGCCCATTGTTCATTTAGTAGCATATTAGTTAGTCTCCAGGTGTTGATGAAGCTTTTATTTTTTTATTTTACATGATTTCTAATTTCATTACATTATGATCTGATAGAATGCAGGGTAGTATCTCTACTTTTTTGTATTTGCTAAAAGTTGCTTTGTGGAATAATATATGGTCCATTTTAGAGAAGGATCCATGTGCTGCTGAGAAGAAAGTGAATTTGTTCATTAAAGGATGAAATATTCTGTATATGTCAGTTAAGGCTAAGTTATGATTGTATTAATGAGTTCTAAATTTCTTTGTTTAGCTTTTGTTTGGACAATCTATCTCGTGGTGAATGAGATGTGTTAAAATCTCCCAGAATTATTGTGTTATGGTCTATTTGACACTTGAACTTCAGAAGAGTTTGGTGAATGTAGATGCTCTATTGTTTGGGGCATATAAATTTATTATTGTTATGTCTTGTTAATGAATAGTTCCCCTAAGCAGTATGAAATATCCTTCTTTAGCCCTTTTGATTAGCTTTGGCTTGAAGTCTACTTTATTTGATATGAGGATGGAAACCCCTACTTGCTTCTGCAGTCCATGTGAGTGGTGTGATTTTTCCCAACATTTTACCTTAGTCTGTGGATGTCTTTTCTTATGAGTCTTTTGGAGATAGCATATTGTTGGGTATATTTTTTTTTTGATCCAATCTGCCAGTTTATGTCTTTTGATTAGTAAGTTTAGGCCATTAACATTCAAGGTTATTATTGGAGACATGATTTGTAATCCCAGCCATTTTTGTTTATTTTTGGTATTTAACTGGACTTGGTTTCATCCTTTGATTAATTTTTCCTTTAGTGTAATACCTCCCTTTGCTGATTTTCATTGTTGTTTTTCAATTCCTCTTCATGGACTATTTTGCCAAGGATGTTCTGTAGTGTAGGCTTTCTAGTTGTAAATTCTTTTAATTTTTGTCTATCATGGAAGGTTTTTATTTCATCATTAAATCTAAAGCTTAATTTTGCTGGATATAAGATTCTTGATTGTCATCCATTTTCTTTCAGAGCTTGATATATGTTGTTCCAGGATCTTCTAGCTTTCTGGGTCTGGGTTGAAAAATCTGCACATATCTATTTGCTTTTCCCCTATATGTAATCTGATTACTTTCTCTCGTGGCTTTTAATATTCTCTCCTTATTCTGCATGTTGGGCATTTCATTATAATGTGCCTTGGTGTGGGTCTGTTGTGATTTTGTACATTTGGCATCATGTAAGCCTCCTGAATTTGATTTTCCAATTCATTCTTCATGTTTGGAAAATTTTCTGATATTATTTCATTGAATAGATTGCTCATTCTTTTTGTTTGGAACTCTGTGCCTTCCTCTATCCTAATAACTCTTAAATTTGGTCTTTTCATACTATCCCATATTTCTTTAATGTTCTACTCATGGTTTCTTACCATTTTCATTGCGTGGTCTACATTCTTTTCAAGATTATATATTTTGTTTTCATTGTCTGAGGTCCTGTCTTCTAAGTGGTCTCATCTTTTGGTGATGCTTTCAATTGAACTTTTAATTTGGTTTATTGTTTCTTTCATTTCAAGGATTTCTATATATTTTTTTAAGAACCTCTGTCTCCCTATTGAAGTAATCTTTTGCTTCCTGTATTTGTTTATGTAGCTTGCTGCCTGTATTTGCTCTCTTATATCATCCTTTAATTTGCAGAACATTTTAATTATGTACATCCTGAACTCCTCTTCATTTCTTCTGTTGTGCTGGCCATGGATTCTAATGTGGTATCTCAATTTGTTTGGGGGTACTTTCTTCACTTGTCTTTTCATATTGCTTGTGTGTCTTCCCTTCTAGCACTGTGGATCTGAGGCATTACCATTTTTACCATATAGGCTTATAGTGCTCCTATAGGGATCCAATACCTCCTTTGAGGTGAAGGACAATGTTAACAGTTCCCAATATAAATAATATATACCTAAAAATAAATATTTGCTATTAAGATGTTTACAGTTTGGTCACAATGTACAGAAATGGTGAATTCAACTATTATCTACATTATATTCAGTAGGTTTGTAAAAGGGTTTACAGTTTCTGATGGTGGACAAAGAATTTGGGTGAGGAGTAGAATGATATGCTGAGGAGGTAGGAGGTGAGTTATTATC